ATTGGAAACTGAGATTTTTGTTTAGAATCACTAAGAGTGAGTGGTAAAGCAGGATTTTGAAGGAGTGCTCAGCCACAGTGTAACCTTAGACCTGCCAGCGAGGTCGTCCCTACACATACCACTAAAAAGAGGATACTGGCCTTCCAATGCCCTGTACTTACTTCGAGGACACTTGCAAGAGGAGATTTGCAGCGACTATTTCGACCATAAGAATCTCCAAAAGTTCAAAAAGAAAGGTTGCACCTACGAAATTTGTGAGGAATAATCAACTTGTAGCGGGGCTTATGTGTGGAAATGCATTCAATTACCTTAGGTAATTACTTCGAAGTAATTGAGGGTATAAAATATGAAATTGAAATATATGCATTTGTGACAATTTACGATTATGAACAAATGATGTTTGGATTGAAAGCGCAACGCTTGAGAATGGGCATTTGGTCTTACACAGAGTGCTGGTTGATTTGTGAAATTTAGTAAGGCATGTGTAAATAAAATTTATGGTTGAGACCTATTGGATTTAAAGGTTTGATTTGATAGAATAAAATTGCTCTTAGTTCGGTAGGATTTCATCTGACTAGGTGTGATAGTGACTGGTCACGTCCTTCTCTGTTCTAGAGCAATGGGCAATTACCTTCGAAGTAAATGAGGGTATAAAATATGAATATGAAATATATGCATTTGTGGCAATTTACGATTATGAACAAATGATGTTTGGATTGAAAGCGCAACGCTTGAGAATGGGCATTTGGTTTTACACAGAGTGCTGGTTGATTTGTGAAATTTAGTAAGGCATGTGTAAATAAAATTTATGGTTGAGACCTATTGGATTTGAAGGTTTGATTTGATAGAATAAAGTTGCTCTTAGTTCGGTAGGATTTCATCTGACTAGGTGTGATAGTGACTGGTCACGTCCTTCTCTGTTCTAGAGCAATGGGGAGGCGAATCACAATAATATAATTTTGTTGAAAAAAAACCGTTGAAACTGTAAAAAGAACTGGTCACTGTTGAAAGAACAGACATCCTTTACTGGAAGAAAGGCGAGCAGATGGCTCAGCCGGCATCCAGTGAGAGCAAATCAGACTCAACAAGCTTACACAAAGTTTCCCAATAGAATAGCAAGTTCAAGTTGTCTCTCTGAAACACATTACAAAACAACTCTCTTCGGGTAGGCTAGTCAGAAAATTATCAAGTCGTCGAGACTCTCCACTTCGTCTCCTCATAATTGACCTACTTGGGAAAATAGCTATTTTTACAATGATTCTGAATCCCGACCACCTAATATTTTTATGACTGATGATTTGAAAAAAAAAAGCTTCACGTATTACAACTATCATGCACTCTCCTTAAGAGATTGTCGCACGAACTAGGGCTGCAAGTATTTCCACTTTTTACCCTTTCACCCCGTGAATGACGGGCTACCCGCGCCATCCTCCCTGCCGATGTTTATTGAAGATTTGAAAGATCTACATTTCGAAGAAGTAACATTTTAGTTTCAGCGTTTAAACTCAGATCGTGAAAGCCAACAATATATGTTGAACAAGCGCAATATAAGAAATTGCTAGGATGGTGACACTCGGTACAATCGAATACGAGTAGCTGGGTATAGTGCAAACTTTGTGGTGTTCTAGTGCTTGATTAGAAAAAACTTGGTAATCAACATTTGCATGGTACAGTTCAGACATTGATTCACATTGATTACTTGTGTGTGCTAGAAAGTTTATAATGCCCAGACCATAATCAAAATAAGTGAAGCTGTGAAATGTTTATTTCTAACATCTCTGAAGATTCAATTTTCGCGGAAAAGATATTTATAAACCAGATCCGCTATACTGATAAAACTTTGTTAATGTCGAATCAAGGACTGTGTTGTAGATCACATGCGATACATTCTACTTTTTTATACGTTATTTTTATAGAGTTGCCATTCAATTTCTCATCGAGACAAAATCTAGAATGTACGCAATAAAAAAAATTAAGTGCTTTACATTATAAAGTAACCTGACATTTACTTTAGTGGCTTGGCGCAAAAGTGCTTCACCCTCTTTTTGATAGCATCTCGTTCTCTCCATGAGAGAAAAGCTGTTTACTGGACAAGCAAATATACGAGGTTCGAAAGAGTGCTGCACGCAGTCCGCAAATTCCGTATGATTTTATGTTCCACTTCCAGGAAACGGCGATAGGAGTAGAAGCCGTGGTCGCAAAATCTTGCCTGCTAACAGCAGCAAAAATAAATAGTTTTTTTCTCATGCGCTGAAGTGTGAGACCCGCAGCGCTGGGATTTCCTCGCTTTACCCATGCTGCCTGTGCTTCCGTCTCCCTGCCAGTTTTTGTAAAGGAAAGAGTCGAAAAGTTTAAATTATAGAACTGTGGATGTCTTAGAATATATCAGTCCCCTCTCCTGAAGAAGAAGTTAGAATTGATGCGCAGTATTATGATGATTTATGAGGTTTTATAAGTTGTGGCATTATCGTTGTATCGTAGCTACAAAAATTATCACCGTAAAAACTGGAATAGAACTGGAGCAGCAGTTTTCTAGTTGTTTAGTCCTTACAAGGGAAGGATACTTAATCGCACTGACGATTGGGTAAGCGGTGTATACCGCGTATACCGTCCCCAGACAGTGATCTCTAAACCGCAATCCATATCTTCTATGACGTCATTCTTGAGGAGTTATAAAGGATTTTTGGCGCAGTGGATAGTGGCTTGGACTGCAGAGATGGATGTCGTGGGTTCGATTCCTTGGAAGGCCACTCGTTTTGCATTTTTGTAAATCTTAGCAGGCAGATTGCAAAACCTGTCTACATTTATAAAAAAGTTGATTTTTACAATTTGAAGCAATATATTTGCACTTATTGGCACTGAAACACCATCTTACCTAAAAAAACACTCGTTTTTAGCCTTTTTCATTAAAAACTTTAATCAATTTGAATCGAAAAAAACGATAAAAACGCCATTTTTAATATGTTAGCTGCTCCTTTCTATGTTAAGCGCGAATTCGGGTTTTTTTGAAGTTTTCAATGAAAGGCTAAAAACGAGTGTTTTTTTTTTAGGTAAGACGGTGTTTCAGTGCCAATAAATGCACATATATAGCTTCAAATTGTAAAAATCAGCTTTTTTGAAATGTAGACAGATTTTGCAATCTGCCTACTAAGATTTACAAAAATGCAAAACGAGTGGCCTCCCAAGGAATCAAACCCACGACGTCCATCTCTGCAGTCCAAGCCACTATCCACTGCGCCAAAAATCCTTTATAGCTCCTCCAGAATGACGTCATAGCAGATATGGATTGCGGTTCAGAGATCACCGTCTAGGGACGGTATACGCGGTATACACCGCTTACCCAATCGTCAGTGCGATTAAGTATCCTTCCTTTGTTAGATCTATCATACAGTGTATGTTTACAGTCTGCCCCAATCCTAAACAGGCCAAAATTGACATGGCGGGAATCCGCGCCGCGAGGGTTTCCCGCCACTTCTGCGGCTAGCTAGTCTGCTCCCTCCTCAATCTCATCGCTCTCTGCGACAGCGCGCATATGCAGCGCAGACCCCTAGCGCTGCGAGCGCGCAAATTCAACCGATGGTTCGGCCTGATCCCGATTGGGGCAGACTGTATGTTTTACTTAAATGTACCTGAATATGCTCTGAACAAAGCTGGAGCTGCCTCAGCTCGAAGCTCGTAAACTCTCATAATTTTTTAATTATGGGAGCTAAAAATGAGAACGCTAAATCAAAGCACTTGTGTATGTAAATCATTTATACGCTTCGTGACGGGACCCGTAGTGCGAGCAAATCTCTCGCCGACATAATGGCATCTGGCCTCTCCTCTGGTCATCATTGAGCGGCGTTATATTTTCACATTCCTTTTTCTGGATTCGATCGCAAGCTGGACCCTCCTCATTCGTGCGGTTAAGGATAGGGGGAACGCAGAAAACTCTGCCGTCGCGCTTGAAATGATCGAGTGTATATTATAGTAAGGATCAGGGTAAAGCGGGGGGTGCGGCACGCCGCAGAGGGGGGGGTCGTAAGGGCGGGGGGGTAGATAGGGAGGGTCGTATCGACCCAAGGTCAAAAGCACTTGTACAAGCTGTGTGACTAAATTGACTTGATGAAAGCGCTGTTGAAATCCTGCAAAATTCAAGTTCAACGACACAAACTTGCAGATACCGTATGCCTACCGTAACCTACCGTACCTCTAATCAACCATAATTGTCGTAATCCGCGTGTCGAATAACCCCTATGCGCCAAGTTTTAGCCAACTCTGAGGTCTCCGAGCAGTAAACAACCTTGTATAAAGCAGCAATTTAAAACATGATTAACTTCACTTAACGGTGAGTAAGCTACCTCTTCTTGCACTCAATACGAAGCACTACTCCTTCTTTGTCCACCTCAGGAATCCCGCTTCAGAAGACCTCCAAACTATTGAATTAGAAGCCAACCAAAATCGCTTTTAGCTTTTGATCGCTGTGCTTTCACCAGATATTGCTCAGAGCTAAGAAGAAGAATCAGGCTCAAAACATCCCTATGGAATCTACGAGGTTTAGACTATTGATTCATATAATTATTGTCCGCTAAAAATGTTTTTTTGGTATAGTTAATGGCCTGCGGCACCCCCCCCCCCCTCAAAACCTGCGGCTGCCGCAGGTTTTGAGGGGGGGGGGGGTGCCGCAGGCCATTAAGTCACCTTCAAAGAGGTTAAACATAAACGCTATCTACAACCGTGCAATTAGTGAACCTTCTCCTCTTTGAAGCAAAAATTTCATTCGAGATCGTTTCTTTCGAAAGAAGTTATGGAGCCTTTTTCCATTACATTCACTTCGAAACAGGGCGAAAAAAATATGGGTTACGGTAAGACGCCGGCTCTGGTTCGGTACGTAAGTTGCAGGGACGCGGCAAAGTGGATAATTTGAATGCTTTGTAATGTTAATGCGACCATTTTTGAGTTGTTCTTGCTTCCGTGTTTGTTTTCGTTTCATTCTCTTTGATGATTGCTGCCATTTAGGGATGGTGCGCTTATGTTAACAATTTTCCAGGGCATTTCCGATGAAACAAACGCGCAATAAAATGTAGCGTTTCCCACAGCACCCATTCCTCGCCACGATTGCTTACTTGTTTGCGATGAAGTAGCAGCTTCTCCATCTGAATGTAAGTTGTGTGATGATACTATGTTGATTTCATCTTGAATCACGACAGAGCTAGTCTATCTTGGCGAAGTCTGCGTGAAATGCTCTATTCCAGCTTTTTAATTTTATTTGCTCTTAGCTGTAAATTTTTTTCACAGTCTTAGTCTCGAGTAGTCGATTTTTCAGCTATTGTTCTGGTGGCAGACTTCTGATCTACGTTTTATTCTGCGGAAGAGTGCGTCGCTCACAGAGATCGGATTTCAATCGAAGCCGACTGTTCTTTTATTGACTCCGGATGACTGCGACGAGCACTCAGAAGTGGTACAACTGCTGAGTCGTTTCTCTGAACGCCATGCTGGGGACACCGTTCTTTTAGACTATCGCGAGGATAGTAGTGGTACGTTGAGCTTATTTTGTATTCGTTTCTGGATCTCTTTTATAGCTGTTCCATCTCGATGGCTCGTACTTTTATGATCTTTTCTTCATTATCAAAATTGGGCCTTTTGCATGGTAGTTATGTAAGGTTTCGAGCAGAGTTCAACGCGATTTCATTGTCGCGAATCGTCGCGACTGGGCAAGTGTTACGAGTTCATTGCATGCCGATCTTCCTGTATTTCGGTTGTGATAGTTATTCACGATTAGTCGTGTTGGAAAATGAGCACAACCAAATGCAAGAAGATCAATATGCAATGATATTGTTACAGTTGTCTTGTCCTGATTAATCGCGACGATGAAATCGCGTGAACTCTGCCCGATGCGAGATGAAAGTGGTGACTGCAAATTCGAAACTTAGTCGAGAATGAATCATCGAGTGGGAAATCAAGGGAGGAATGCACGATAGAGGCCTCCTCGACGACAATGAGCCGTTTGCACGATTTACTGTGGTTGTTTGTGTCTGTTTGCAAGTGCATGAGTGTTCAATTCGTCGCACGCAGAGGCAGGCCGCTCTGCGGACTCTGTCTGCATCTCTTAGCTCAGAAGGACTATTGTTCGTCACCATTTACGGTCTCTTCATCGCGAACTATCGTGTTTGGACGCAACGACGTCCAGTCTCCGAGTGCCATTTGCGTCTAGCACTGTTTTTTTCACTTTCGAGATATTGGAAGGTTTAATTTTTGGATCTAAACACTTTTGGTGATATCAGCTTTCATTGCCGTTGATACCTGTACCTTGAACTTCAGGGTGGACGCTTTGTACGTACATCTACTCGTGCAGTGATGTCGCTGAATGAGCGACAGTTTCAGTCGATGCGCGTTTTCAATAATCATCCTAGAAGTAGGTTTTGTCTTCACCTTCAGATTCTTTCGTAGTGACACGTTTGAAATAGTCCATGTCACTTTCAGAGGGACAGAGCGAAGCTTTGCGTACGTCGGCGACACCCCCTGAATTGCCTAATTTCTGGACACTTGAGGAAAGCTGCCACTTCCTAGGAGAGTATACCCACCTATTTCACCTTTTTCCTATGTAATCAGAAAGCCTTTATCAAATGATCTCTCTATTTGTGTCCCCACTCAAGCTACTACTGTTATCGAACCTGACGGTCTCTTAACATTTACTTGTTTAATCAATATACCTCTGTTTGACCCATACCCGACCTCTGCTCTAAATATATCTTTTATCCACTACTTCACACATATATCGATGTTACAGTAAGAATAATAATAGTTTGCTCTATATAGATTTTTAGCTATATGGACTTTTCCGAGGGGGGAGGGGGGGGGGGGTAGGGAATGGGGGGGGTCGTGCCGAGGTCCGGCCCAAGGGGGGGGGGTCGTATCCGACGGTCGTGTGCCGCACCCCCCGCTTTACCCTGGTAAGGATCCTTACTATAATATATACTGGATCCTTTCAAGCGCGACGGCAGAGTTTTCTGCGTCCCTCCTATCCTTAACCGCATGCATGAGGAGGGTCCAGCTGCTGAAGGAATCCAGAAAAAGGAATGGGAAAATGTAACGGTGCTCAGTGATAGCGAGAGGAGAGGCCAGAAGCCATTATGTCAGCGAGGGATTTGCTTGCACTATGGGTCCCGGGGCGGAGCGGAGATTTTTCACCTTTGAGCTAAGCGGCTGGGAATTGGCACAGGGGTGTATGTGAGCATGCTGATCATAAATCCAACGAATTCCAGAATTATCGATTATTATCGGCCACCTTTATCGACTTCGTTGCTGCACTTGCTAAATACAGTCTGCCTCAATCGGGATCAGGCCGAACCGTCGGCTGAGTTTGCGCGCTCGCTGCGCTAGGGGATTGCGCTGCATATGCGCGCTGTCGCAGAGAGTGAACAGATCGAGGAGAGAGCAGACTAGCTAGGCGCAGATGTGGCGCGAAACCCTCGCAGCGCGTACTCCCGCCATGCCGATTTTGGCCTGGTTAGGATTGGGGCAGACTGTAGAATGGTTGTCTACGGAATCGCTCTAGCTATCGATCTCTCTTTCGTTGTGTTGTACTTGCAAGACGATTACAGTTTTGATATCATTAGACGGCTCTCTCCTCACTCTACAAATATCGAATCTTTAGCACACTTTTGGAAAGTTCGTATTCCTTTCACGCACAAGTTTTCTATGAAAAACCTCTTTCGAAGCTTGGGGTAAAGCCTGATTGCTTAACGAAAAAATTGAGTATTCCGTGAATTATGATCTTGAAGGGGGACGGTATTTGGGACAATCATTGTGCGCTCACATCTCAATAAAATTTATCACAAATCTGCCTCAAAAGCCAAAAAACCGAACATTCAAGTCACGACGCTGTGAGCACTGTTGGTTGATTTTTTTGACGTTTCGCTTCCATAAGACAAGATTAACATTTGTACATTTATTAACACAGTTAAGATTATACAGACACCCTGATGAGGTTCACTGTTTCACTTCTATGCAATATCTCACAGTTTTCGAGCGCATCCGACTGTGTGTGTTATCGAATACAAACTTATACACTCCTGGTTCTTCGGCTAGGATCTGCAACGAATAAAACATTCAGTGGAGTTGTGTCAATATATAACGAAGACTTTCAAGATGTTCTTCTTTTAAAGCTATCATGCACTTTTTGGTACACATTTTTTCTACCATAGGTTGTTGTTTTTTCTATAGGTCGATTTATCAAAACAATTGTTCATTGTTGCCCAAAAACTGAAGATACTCACAATGTTTTAGCTACGGCTAACTTTTATTTGAAAAAAAATTATTAGAAAGAGAGCTAAGGGAAAAAGGAAAAGGGAAAAAAGAGGTTTCTTTGTCGAAGGAGATTTTCGTGAGATTTTCAAAAGTTAGAGTGATCACTTACCTCACCATCCTCAGGAACAAATTCAGTTTGCAATTTGAATTTTGGATGAACAACATAATCGTCTGCATGCTCTGCCACCTAAATCCATATAATTTGCTGAAGCGTCCAGATCAAATAATGCAAAAATTTATAAGAAAACAAAATTTCAAAAATTTCTTATGTACCTTTTCTTGACCGGGAGCTGCACGATATACAACAAATCCTATATCATTTGCTTCTACTCGCCACCACCAAGTAATCTTTCGTCCTGGTTGGTGATCTGAAATTATTTCTCACAATAAAGCTATGCTACTTAAATACTGAGTGAGTAGGATGTTTTTCCATGCTTTTGCCAGCACGAGTCTTGTACTTCCCATAAACTGAAAACGCACTAACCTTCTACGGTTATTGGTACAAAATTCATTGATTTAGCACCTATCACAAGTTTCTGCAGTTTGTCCGCTGGTAGATCGTTATTTGGATCATACCTATAAGGACTCAATAAGAGCAGTATTTATGCAAATTGTGGAGCTCATACCTTAATTCTGCAGGAACTTTACCACCGGTTCGAATGTGACCAAATGGAGTTTCAGCTTTACGAGTACCTCCCCAATGCTCGTATAAAACGTCCTCACCAATGTTTTCCTAAACAAATATGGATAGAGCACAATCCGAGGGATGGAAGATTAGGTGTCATGGATAAGTCTAGAGCTTACTCTCAGTATATCTTTCCAATTATCTCCTAATATTCTTATTTTCTGTTGAGTTTGCTTAGCTAGGCAAGGCGATATCATTCCCCAAAGTATTTGGATGAACGATGGCGCATTGATAACGAATATCTTACGAATCACATCGGGAAACATTTCCTGAAAATTTTCTGAAAAAATGAAAAAAAAAGATTTCCTGATAAATTGCCTCCAAAAAACTGTTTTTTGAAAACTCACCTGTAACTGTGTTAGCATTGTGGTAACAACTTTCATGGCTTGCATATCTACTTGGGCAAAACTTAGCCCATCCAGATCGAATATTACAGAGGTTCCCAATTGCTTTCCATTTTTCTTCTCTAACGCTCTGAAACATTTATTCATTCTTATCTGCTCACAACGAGTTCGAGGGAATTTTTAATAGATGGATTTGAATCAAATACAAATTACTCTTCGACTTCCAGAAATGTTTCGCAAAATTTCGTTAAATTTTCTTTCGAAAAATGCAAATTTCTGTGCTACACTACTCCGAGAATATCGGAGAAAAAAATTGTGAAAGGAATGAAGCATTACCGTATAATCTGCATAACACCTTCGCTTTCAGCTATCCGCATACGGTAGAGATCTGAGTTACGAGTGCATGGCATGAGCCCTGCCGCATCCAACCGGCCGATCATCTGCAGTGAGATCACATTGCCTTCCTTGTCGAAGCCCAAAAGCGATCCTGTACAGCAAATAAGAACGTGATTTAGTAGCTTTGGTACTTTTCCAAGACCGTGGACGAATGCACAGAGAATTTTTTACCCCAAAAAATTGCACTATAGATACATTTGTTTATATCAATAGATATTTGCCAAAAGAGATCGCAACGACTAAGAGAACTTTCCAAAATTATCTAAAAAGCTTGCTATCTGATCTATTTTTTGTATAGCAGACCATAAAGTTGTATCACTAACTTTTCAAGATTTTAACCAATGTGTTCTATCTATCTTTCCTGCTTTTAATATTTATTTACATTACTATACGTGTGGTTCGTAAGGCTCATGTTGTCGCATTTGAGAAGTTGAAAAAATTCTAGAACACACTGCAACAGTACAGAGTTTTTTATAAATGAACTTGAATAATTTCCTTCTTCCGCACTGATCTCATATTTTACTTTGTGAAAAAATGTCAAATGCCTTACAGATGGATTCCTTTCCATCAAAATAAAAAAATGCAAGTCGGGCACAATGTCAAGAAGTCATGACTTCCAGAAATTCAATTTGAAAATTTTCCTGGTAAGCATCGCAGCTTCGGTGTCAATTTGATGAAAATTCTTGAAAATATAAGTTGAAACATCAAAACAATGCAAGTCATTGCAAAACCTTTATTGTGATTTGTGAATTTTGGGATTGTTTAAGCTTTTTTTTAAAATCAGTTTTGGGATCCAGCTGTATACCTAAAGAGAAAATTCGGAATAGCAATTCTATCATCATCTATTTCTTTTCAATCCAATGTGATATAGCACAACACTCAGGCTGTTGGCTTAGAGGAAGAGTTTGAGGGAAGCGTTTTACGATAGTAATTGGCTATGAGCTGACATACCTGGCAGATACTGTAACGCTTTACTGCACTCATCACATTTTGCAGTGACCTTCTCCAAAGTTGACAAATCTTCTTTATCAAATCCTAGCGCATGTATAGCTCGAAGTGAAAACTTGATTTTTGGTACAACGACATCTAAACAGACTCATGGGTAATAAATAACGCATAACTCAATCTGACCATGACTGACCTACGTTACGGTCCCATCCAACAAGCCATCGCAATAGGGAGAGATCATCATTGTATGCTGGTACTAATTCTAGTTCATTCTTGATTTTGGAGCGAAGCTCATCAATAAGCTTCCGATCGCTGTCCGATATCTGGACAGCTGTCATCTGAAGAACAAGCTTCGGATTTTGGAAGAAAAAAAGAAAAGAACAAAAGCGTAGTCGAAGATAAAGCGCTATCGGGACTGATAATGATGCAAGTAATAAGGGATGAGGAGCGATGTATGCCAGATTAAAGCTTGAGAAAAGCTTTGAATGTTAGATATAGATCCCATAGCTATGAATGAGCGAACATGTTCTGTTATCCTTAGGATTTGTATCACGTTATTACCTTAAAAAATAATTCCGATATTAACGAGGAAGTGCAAGAACAAAATTGTAGTCCTACAATCGTCAATATTCAATACAACATTACAACGAAAATTTTCTTAAGTGGACTTACAAACGTCAACATTCGTAGCTAAAGGCAGTGTCCACAAATCTAACAATAAGTATTTGAACTTCTTATATGGAAATTGCTTCAAAAACCTTATCCAGTCATTGCTTACGCGGCATCTCAGAAAATCTATCCGTCGCAAAAAAACCACAAACTCTTGTCCAGACGTATGCGAGATAGGCTGGTCAGAGTACGGTACTGGACGAAGTGAAATTACTGGCCCTGTTTGAGTCACGATAGTGACCACTTGGATGAACTAAATTAGGAATTGCCAATTACGTTCCACGTGAGAAGCCCAGGTACCCAGGATAGCCTGAAAACCGCCTCTGAAGGTTTGATTACTTTTTAGTATAAGCTGCGACTAAGATACTTCAAACGATTTTACTATGTCCAATAGGAAATCCGATACGGCTATAGCAGCTTATTCGACTAAAACGGATCAAATACCAAGGCATAAGAGAATATGCTTGCATTATGAATTCATTCCAAGTAATGACATTCTATTACCAGTAATTTTCCTCTGTGAAAGCATTTGCACCTGCTCGTGAGCTGAGAGCAGTGAAAATGAACTTTGATATGGAAACATGGCCTAACAAAAGATATTTTCGCATATTAAACCAGTATAACGAGAAGCCTGATGTTTATTTACTCTTCGAGAAATATTTTTCATACAGTTTTTTAACTAAGGACCAGGGCTAATGCCAAGATAATCACTCCACTAGTGCTCTATATATAAGCAGAGAAAGGAAAAGTCTATGGCATCGCAAGGGGATGAAATGGGAGAAGCGAAAAACCCACTAAACCACAAAATGCATAGAAGAATATCTGCAGCATCTGAAAAAATGCACGCGAGCAGAGGGACGGGAGATGGCAATTCAAATCATTTTGACGGAAATCAAAAACGTACGCATAGATACCTTTGAATAACCGGCTTTAGAGAACATCTCGCAAAAACGACCACTAGGCTGGAACTTTCTAAGCTAAGCAAAGTGATTGAAGAGTGTCTCAATATTACAAATTGCAGACTGATTTGGTGAAACACATGATGTTACAAAATTTTGCTCAGAACCGCCATGGAATGAAAAAGGAAAACAACAACAAATTGCAAGATTTCTCTCAGTTTTTGCAAAGTCCATCAGAAGCATGTAGTACCAATCTCCTGCAGAATTCAAGCCAGTATAGACGCAATTGACTGGGAGCGAGTAGACAAATATAAGTGAGAAAATGGATAATCATCACTATCACTAGGACCTCATGAGTTGGAAGCACATGTTGTTCTTGGTAACTCGTCAGAATAGCCTGGATATACTTGTTGAATTTTTCTGATTCAATTTGCTGCAAGCTTGATGCAATTTTCACATTCCACCCGCACATCTCCATTCCTCCCACGAATGCGGGTGGAGAGAATAAATTGCTTGAAGATGAGGTGCAAGAATCCAAAAATTGCAGAATATCTATATAAACGCTTTGGTTAATCAGTAAATTAGAATGTGTTACTATGGAAATAGGGGTTCAAAGAGCATACTTTTCTTTCCCCTCGCCTTGAAAGATGAAACTTTCACTTAATTATTCATGGAATATTCCTCCTACGCTAATGACATGAGTGAAGGATCTCATTAATAGAAGAATGTTAGCATTGATAATATACAGTATGGCCTGTTTCGCCTCTACCCCTATACAGGTATCAAGAAGAGTAGACCACTCCCGAGGCTCTTCAGTAGGGAAGAGTGGCTTGAATGGAAGACTAATGGTTTGGCCTTGGGTGTTGCTGTATTTATACCTCAAGGTTTATATACCATTCGGGTAGAGCAAAATAATTATGATCCACGATCTGAGACATAAAAATCAAGTTTTTGAATTATGCACTTTATAAAATGTTTAGAGTTTTTAAATGAATGAAGTTCCGGATACTTATGGAAAATACATTTATTGAAAGTGAGACATTTTATAAATGCATTTTCAATAATATCAGCACTATAATCAAGTGCATAAAGTTTATTCATCAGAAGCAATAATCTTTGTTCAAAGCTATTGAAACTTGTGCAAGTTCTGTAGATTCTTAGGATCTCGCCGTATATAATAGCTATTTTAATTTTGATACTAACATTAGAATTTCCATGAGTATATTTATTTAAGGAATCATTATTTAAGGAAGGATCTCATTAAGGTTATTATTATTATAATAGCCTACCCATATACAACAATTATCAAGCAAGAAGTTTTGATGAGCAGAAGATCAGTCTCAATGAAACAGGCATGAGCAAGGCATGATACAAAAAATTTGAGCAAAAGCAACTTTACAAATCACTCACGCCCTTTCTGGCTTTTAATTTTGAAGAAAAGAGTTTTAGTTCTAAATGTGCACTTCTGGGTGGCAGCTGCAGAGGCGGAAATTCGTGTGCAAAATGATGGATGTGTTTGTTACGAATGCCCAAATTTGGAAGCGATCTATTTTTCGTGTTTTGATGACATGGTAACAAATTCTTGGGAAGTTGCCAACTTACAGCATAGGAATTCTCCGATAAACCAAGATAAGAGTCCAAATAGAGAAAAGTTATTAGAAAATACAGAAAGGAAAAGACTCAGTATCAGTCTCAGATACTCTGAACATTATAAATTGTAAAAATTTTGTTTTATCAAAGAAAAATCAGAATTTGGAAGAACTCGTGGAAAGAAAGTCTTTCTTGCCCACTTCATCTCAAGCTAGGTCAAGCGAGCAAGACAAAATTGCAAAGAAATTTACAAAACACATAACATTTTCTCGAAAATAAGGACGGTAGCAGTAAAAGCGCATTCCTCTTCACCGCATTGCTCGCTTTCCTATCGCAAGTTTGCCAAGTGAATATGAGGTGCTTATTGTTAGCGGCGCTAATGGACCGTAGTGTTTGAAAATAACTTACAAATATACCTCAAGTGTGGCTGTGAGATATTTTATGATCGTTTGGGGTGTGGTTCGCTCCTCATGTACTTATTGCTAGATTTCTTGCACGTTGCGAACGCAGACTACGTCTAATGAGTAGAACCAAAGTTTACCACTGGTAAAAAACGAGGAAATGGTCACAGGATCAAAAAACTTTTCGTTTCAAAAACTGCTAGTGTTCTATCTTGGTCTACATTCAGTCAATAAAGCTAGATTGTTTTCCAGAAGCAGACAATGCAGTAGGAAATTTGCCAAAAACTGTTTCTTCCTTTGTGGGTTAAAGCAGAGTATGTAGTCTGACCCGTTTTTGATGATAAAAAAAATCTTTACAGGAATCGAGTGACAATCCAACCTAATACTCAGCATGATTTTTCAAATTAGGATGGTATGAGCAAAATAATATATGTAGTTTGGATTAGCCCTTCAGATAGGCCAGGGGAAGCGAGAAAAAAAGTTTTTATTGTAAATGCTTTGAGATCGTTATCATTAATGCAGAATAGAGAGATAAATGATTTTCACGAGAGTTCTTGCATAAGTAGTCAAAACTAGTAGAAACTTTCCCCTTGTTTATGCTGGCATCGAATCAAATGTTCTTGGCTAAGACTTCATCCAAACTTAGTCGTTCTATTTAATCTGAGGATAGCAAGGGATTATGTCTATTTGTCAACAGGATTTGGATAAGTAAGCATGATCGCCGTCAACAGTTGTCCACGTATAGCTGTTAGTGGAATTGGAAGTACGTAGCAAACTAGCAAACTATTGATTGTGATTTAATCAATATACTATTGATTAAATCACAATCCTACTGTCATATTTTTTTCGCAATTTGTGTTTGTCCCACCGCCAAGGAATCAAAAGAGAACACATTTTAACATTCGTATATAGAAAGTTCATGGAAACCTATCAAATTATTCACAAATGTTTTTGAGTTGCGCTTATAATACGAATCTAATAGAGTATCAGCTGTAAACCTTTAATTACTTTTTCTACAACAATAACTCGCTTTGCAATCGGTGCAGTGTTTCTTTCCTTTCAAAAACATACTATATGCCACTATAGAATCACACAACTCGAAAATCACTCACGTAACACGCAAGAATACTATTGAAATAAAATTGTGCAAATTTAGACTCAAATAAATACGACAACGTAGAGGATTGACAAATAGCATTTTATTTGTACATAATCCACTGTAAAAAAACTAAGAGTATCAAAATCACATGGTTGCATCAACTCACTCCCTTACCCAGGCAGGGGGAGCAAACTAGTTCGAGAATACGGGTGTATGTACACACGGGCTTGTGATCTGTGCTCTGTGGCATTTCTAACTTCTGCAGATCATTAGTAGAGCTCGTCCGAAAGGAAATTAGCCATGCATTCGGAATGTAAGGGAGAATAGGAGGTGATAATGGAGGATACTTTTTGGATTGTAGAAATTATCATTCAAGTTAAATTTCAAAAATGTTACAATATAGGTCATTATTGGGCTCTAGAACCAGCGCAAAAGAGCTGAGATAATTGAGTTCGTTTGGAAAACTGGGCTTAATTTCTTAACTTGCAATTTTCAAAACAACTAGAGCAATTACTTTGTAAATAATTTCCACATAGAAGCATTTACGGGAACGAAAAAGTAGCTGCTGGAAGCTTGTGAACTTAGAAGTCGGAATTATCAAAAAAATGAAATTTCGGTGAGGCACTTTATAGGTAAAAGTTTTTGCATAAAAGCATCTAAAAGAGAAGGTAATGAAAGAGTATAGCTTGAAAATCGAAAATTTAAAAAATGAATCATTGTAAGGATACAGCATTTTTGTTAATTTGTGTTAGTGACTTTTTTGCCCAAAAACATCTACAGTTAGGAAGAGTAGTAATGAAAATCTAAGAACTTGAAAGTATGGAAAAAGGAATTACGGTAAGGGTACAGTATGAGCAAAAGTTTTTGGTTGAAAGGACCCATAAGAAAAAGGAACGAGCTTGTATTGAAAATCCCAAATCTACAAACTAGCAGCGCCCTCCAGAATTACATGACAGGAGCCCTCTACAGCATTCTTCTCAAATATCAAGCAAAGCTTTTCCTAAGGCTTCCCTCAGTCTCTAACTAATCCCACGCAGATGATGAAGCAAAGCCGAATCAATAAGAGAGGGAAAGGCGCAAGAGAGATGCGTTGAGAGAGAGTCGTACGCGGTTAGAAGACCCCCCTCACACCCGCGAACTCGTAAACAACGAGTGGATTTGTATGTAATGAAGGCGATAATTATGCATGCAACTCGCTGAATATGCCGTAAACAGCGCCGATAAGAAGCCGAGTGGCAAAGGGAATATTGCAAGTTCACGGTCTGCAAAAAGTTGTGGTTTGTTCTGACTTGTGGCGAGTAATATTCAAAGCAGAAAAGTTTTTGCCAAGGTAAATAGTAGGCTGGAACATGAGTTTGCACAATTTCCAAAAAATTCATTTAAAAGCTCACGACAGAGCAGCGTTTCATTCTGTTCAGTATTCTTCCATTATATTAGGCTGACGCAAAAGTTCTGTCGCATCATTTTCACAAATTCATAAATTCTTTCTCACTCGACGGATTTTTAGGCTTAATTTTGCTAGATAGAGAGACCTTTTTCTTTGTGAAAAGTGCCAAAAAATCAAATTCACTAGTTTGTACTACTCTCCCAAAAACCATAACTCTTCGCAAAGATGCTCATCTGATACAAACTTTGCACTTTAAAGGATGGATCAAAACACTTACTATACTGCTTGCTAGGAAATTTTATGGCATGTTTCAGATTTTTAGCACCCTAGCTTAAAATGATCGATACTGAAGTAATTTTATTCTCCTGCTTCCATCTCAAAAGGTACCCCTCAAGAGCGGCAAAAGCACTCTCACAAAGAAGAATGTTTTCTCGTTTCAACAAAATTTAAGTCAGTTCAAATCCATTGAGAGAGCAAGAAGCTATGATATTTCAAAAATGATGCGACAACACAAGTTTTGCACTAATCTAGTATGTGATATATGCAGAATTTCATTGTATAGATATATTAGAGGTTTTATATATTACGAAAAATGTCAAAATACGTGAATAATTGAAAAAAAAAACACAGTTTCTCGTAGAGACGTTTTCTCAGCACAAATCTATCTTAGCTGAAAAGCGCACGTTATAAAACCAGATAAAAAGTAAATTTAGAAATTTTTGGACTTTTCAGCATTTTAGGAGATTGAAAGCTAGGAAAATGCAATTTGAGTGTTTGCCGTCAACGTTTGGTTTGACGCAATAAACAAGGATGATTCCGTTTCGAGAACGCTAAGAACTAAGATTTTTTTCTAGATTATATTTCAAACGGATTCACGAACCTGGAGGAGATTACGGAATTTGAATACAGTTTTTGGTGCAGGAATTATATTCCATATAATAGATTGAAACTGAAGAAAAACAAGACGACGGAATGATTATCGGCTTATATGAAAAAAACAA